ATCTATCTATCTATCTATCTATCTATCTATCTATCCTGCAGTGATATAAGATGGGATGAACACAATAACATTTGAGATATAATACACTATCTGTCTATGTATTTATCTATGTATCTATCTTAGATATCTACACACACACACACACACACACACACACTGCTTCAAACTAAAATGAGTTAAAAAGTTGCAGAAACTGAAATATCTAAAAATCGCTAAACTGTGCTAAAACCTAAGACTTAGGGGGCACAATTCCATTTTTCTTTATATACCCAAATGGCAGCTTTCTAGTTGTGAAAGTAGCATTTTTACACTTACACAGTTTGTGATTCTATTACCCCTGCAGTGTGAGTACATATATGTGTGCACAGACCTGAGTACGTGCAGTAGTCTATATTCTGGGCTGGCACATGTGGCTAAGTGTATGCATGCATCCTGGACCCAAAAGTGTTTGTAGGTGATGAAAAATGCAGCTGGCCATAAATTTTACTAACAGGTATTAGATGCTGGATGAAAAGAGGGAGGGCCAGCCCATCTTTTAACCTTAATAGCTAGGCAGCTAGAGTGCTTATCCAGAAAATAGGAGACTTGGGTTCTAGGTCCCACCCACCCAGAGATGGTTTGAACCCACATCTCCCTGACTTTCTAGCACATTACTCTAACCACCATGTCACACATGAAATTTTACTCAGCCTTCTGTCCAGCACTTCTTTTTAAGCTGAGCTGCTAGCCAACTAAAAGAGGAGATATATAGGGCCAGGAGTGAGAAAACAAAATTGAGGCTATATGGCTTAGTGAGATAGTTTCTCACCTGGACTGAGGGGCTTTGGGTTTCCAACCTGGATCCTTGCTCCCCACTGCACTGTTCTTCAGTTATTTTATCCCAGAGCTATTTAATGTAAGGGGCAGTGACTCAGCTTCACAAAGACTTCTGGAGAATGGGCTGGGTAATATCTCACATACTGCACGGTGGTTAAAACGCTATGCTAGATGGATTTTGAGAGGCAGTTTCACTGGGTGAGTGCCCTAAACCACTCAGTTCTTGGAGGTAGAACATGGGATACAATTTCTTGCTATTCTTTGACTTATACTCAGGTATGTGTGCATGTAGCTATGTAGTGCAGGACAAGTGCTGCAATTGCTTCATCTGTCCACACTATAGGAAGAAATCTACTACCCTTGGCACATCTACACTTGATGTTTACTGCAGAGCTACTTAGCTCCACAATAAACATCTCGGGGTCTATGCATGAGTCCCTTGTAGGGCTCAGGAAACTAATAAACTCCACAGCAGGGTAGTACTTAAAAATGCAAGTACTAGCCTGCTATGGAGTTTTTTCATGCATAGCAGTGCATGGGTAGATGCTGACCTGGCTGGCTGGGGCATGAAGGTGCTTCAATGCAGGGGCTGCCTGCCAGCTAGCTCCAAGCTGAAGCGTCTTTGTGCCCTGGTTGGAGCAGTCCCAGCTTGCAGGCTGACTGGGGCTGCTCTAGTTGGGTTCTGCATGCTGCTCATGAATAAACTCTGGAGCTGATTGCTCTGGAGTTAATTGCTCCCAGGCAACAGCATACATTCAAATGGTGTGCCCAGCAATAAGCTCTGGAGTTTATTCATGTGTACTAATTCCACACGTAGATGTGCCCTTTGTTTCATAAATGGCAGTTTTCTAGCTTGACACTTATGTATAAGCCTATGACCCTTGTAATCTGGACACATAAGCATGTGTTCAGTTGTACCACTTTAAATGGGTGGGAGAAAGTATAGAAGTTC